CAAACGTTGAGCGTTCAAAGATGGCGAATATCTGTCGTCAGTCAGGAGACGAATTAAGAATGATCTAACTGACGAGGGAACCGGGCGAGTTTCAGCAGCAAGTTCCTCGATATATGGTGGCCATTGTAATTCGGGAGAATCTCGCGCATATTCTCGTATGTCTTCTCGAAGATATTCAGCCGCTTGTTTGATTACTTCCTCGCGATTTTTCAATAATGTATTCTTATTTGTTCCTTCACGGCTGATCACAACTTGAAGTGCGTCAATTGTTAAAAATAATAATTGGTCAGGAAATTTTGTAACAATCCTATTTTTTAACTTGCTTCTATATCTGGTATCTTGGGTATGGAGACCATATAAATCATGTAGTAGCCTACTGTCATAGAGATGGCCTGATTTGGGGATAAAACTTTTCGTTGTATGTAATCTGTTACTTTGTCGAAATTACCTTTCGCATCATTGTCTTCGAACTGTTTAGTATTCGCATTTGCTACTTTTCTTGCAAATTCTCTGTAACAGAAGTCATGATACTTGAACTCTTTTGCTATTAAATCGATATCTCTAATTTCATAAAAGAGCTTGGTGTCTTTCGCTTCTGCCGATTCCTTGATTTGCGCAGCAGCCATATTGGTTGCTATTGTGATGGGAAAATGTAACTTTCCATTCTTTTTTACCCGGTATTTTTTACAGAAATTGCATTCCTTTGGATAAAGGTTACGAGAGCAATCAGGGCTGGATTCACCACGCTTTAAGCGCGTTACATTTGGTTGTGAATCGGGAGAGCTTTCTGAATGCTTTAATTCCTTTTTTCTTGAGAAAGTATCAGAAAAAACTTTTTATAGCACGGTTCTTGATGAACTCCGTGTAACGACGGATTGAACTGATTTAGCTCTGGGACAGAATCGCACTGTTTTTTTGTGATGGTTAGAGCCACCCTTCGATTCTCGTAGAGTTTTCGCTTGCTGAATTCGTTCCAAGTTAACTTCTGACAACTGTTTTATGTTACTGTATTTTCCGTCATCAATATCATAATGAACCACACACTTTGCCACATCTGCCACATCTCCAAAAATTGATTCAAATTATCTCACTAACATTAATAATTTTTAGAAAAACTGACTTTACTTTTAAGCAATATTATTGTATATCTGCAGGTGAGTCACTTATGAATTCCTTCAATTCCAAATTAGCATTGCCTTTAAAGGATTAGTGTCAGGGTCATGCATTGCGGGCTTTTGTTATTGTTTACATTTTACTTAAATACAACAAATAGCGATAAAAATACCTAGTTTGGTACATTTCTGATAAAAATAAAACAAAAAGAGCAAGGATTATAAAAGGATGGTTTAAATATATGACGGATTGTAAACACTTTCCAGATCATCTGATCTATTCGTCCCGAAAAATGGCCGCCAGCAGGAGTTTGAGCCCGCGAATTCCTGGTGTGACACTAATACTTTAAGTTATTGTTTTACAAATATTACAAACTTAGCGCATGCCTAAATTTAGACTTTCACAAATGTTTATGTATAATTATCATATGAAATCGAAAAGACAAAGTAGCAATGAATCTCAGTTAAAATTTCAAACTGCATTTGAATACCATTACTAGGCAAAAGATAAACTTTGCATATAAATAAATTTAATTTAAGCGTATTGTCTATTGATTAATATCCAGTAATGTCAATGCTTATATGGCACATGCTAGTCCCACGTCTAAATATAAATATCAAAACAATTAATAAGCTTACCAAGTCGCTCTGACATAGTCTCAAAAATCATAAACAAGCATAAGAGATAGCGCACCATATACACGCCTTTCATTGAGAATTCGTCAAAACATTTCAAGCTTGATTAACAGTCTTTACAGACTTTACATTCCAGCATGCAACAGGTACAATGCACGTGGAAAAGAGGAAGTCAGGATTCCGGATGTTTCCGGTTAATTCAATTTAATTTTTGAAGCCTTATGCAATTCAGCATTTAAGCATATAATATTGAAATAGTTCAACATGGTAAATGAGTTAACCAGTCATTTTTCCAGGCAAGGATTAAAAGCAGGTTACCCCCCCCCCCCCCCCCCGGTCAAATAAATCCAAAATGTTTCATACCTTGTTTAGCAACACATGTATAACTTCCACAAGCAATGGAAACTCTATTTCTAAACTAATTTATATGTAAAGAAGGTTGTGGTAATAACAAATCACAAATTTCAGTTCATTAAAATATAAAATTCAGTTCATTAATTATATGCAGAAATCCCAACATTTCACCCCCCTGCGGCTAAACGCACCCGACTCCCCCCGTTTACCATCACGTTTCGAAACACCCAGGTCTGTACCTACTTGAAAATACCCATCCCGATTTCTCCGGCTTCAGGTGGTAGTAAAGTCCACCACAGCCCGGTCTAGATAACCCTCTGCGAACAACAAGGAAAAATTCTCCGGAACGATCAATTTTCCCCTGCAAAGATTTTACAAGAGACGATATGTCATGAAAATTACTTGGATCAGAATCATTTTTATTGTCATTATTATCCTCTATGACAGAATCTGTTTTAAGTTCGACCTGAATCTCCTGTGCAATAATATCATCAGTTCTTTGCAGTTCCCTGGCCAGAACTTCATCGTTCCTTATCTGGTTCATGATTTCAGATTCATCACTGGTCTCGTTGCGTTCTTGATCCTGCCGGAAACGTTTTGCATCATTGCGATCTGATTCTTCCCAGATGTATTCTGGATCACCATCAGCATTAAATGTGTCTCCCGTTTTTATTGTACTCGTTGACAAGCATGGACTAAAACCTGAGCGAGATTCTTCCGAAGTATCAAAATCACTCCGACTGCACAGATATAAAATAATTTTGCTGAATTCTTTTCCAACTTCTTTGCGATATCTCTTCAACGTAAAGAACTCCTTTCCTCCTGATAGAAACAGCGCTTCCTTCCCGTTTTCTAACAGCAATACATAATCCTCTTCTTCATTGAAACAATCGCTATAAAAATCTCTCCACTTCGTGGCTGCTTTTTCCAAAATACGGGCATATGGATCTACGGGCGAGACCTTCAACGAAATTCTCTTGCCTCTCTTTGGCTTTAATTTATCTTCTTTATCGTTCCATTCGTACAAGCTAATTATGATGGTGACTTCCTGTGGTGACTGTTTGCCCTTTTTAGTTCCTTTAGATACCAGTGATTTCCAATGTTTCGATTTGGATTTGCGATAGTCCTCTAATGACATTGGCTTTGCAATAGAACGGTCCGATTTCTGTTCAGCAGGCGACGTTGGTGAAAAACCTAGTGATCAAAATATATTTCAGCATTAATTAAACACATGCATGAAACCATTAAGTTGCATTGCGCCCGAACGCACAACCACTTTGTATTTTTACTCTGTCAAACGCTGACGAGTTTACTCTTCAAGGGGATAGCGTTGGCGCCCAATGGTTTAACCTGAATTGCACCATGCATGTGCCGAGAAGAAAAAACCTTTTAATTACGGACATCCTAGGCGTCATGCACTAATGAAACCAAACGTAAACCATTCCCCATGTTTGTATTGTGATGACTAATTTTTTGCTGAAATTCCCAATATTTCGCTGAAATTCCCCCAAAGTGAAACTGTTTTTTACCTGGGAAGCTTTACTGCTATGTCCTTTATTGCTATTTAAGTAACAATGTGTAAAGAAGAGTTTTATTTGGATTTGATTGACATTCTATAAAATTCGAGATTCAAACCCGAGAACTTGATTTTATCTTGAATTGGCTATCTTTTTTGCTCTCCATTCTACTTGGGGTTTATTCCGAAGTTATCTATCAATATCCTCATCTGGTAGATAGTTTGAATTTTCTGTGTTGGTGTAACGTGGCCAGGCATATTTTTCAAGCTTGCCCGGTGTGGATATACATCGGAATAACATCACAAACATCACCACATATTTTGTCAACATAGTTCACAAAAGCATTTATAATATAATAATAATAATATATTGAAGTTATATTGCGCATGTTAGCATGGAAATATGTTCACATTTATAGAGTAAAACAATCATTCTGTAATATTTTAAAAAGTTAAAACATAACAAGCCATATTGCCAATGGACAATATCAAAGGTGCTTAGCTGTTCCAAACAACAGTCCAACTAAGCTGTCATCAAATGCAGTGTTTATAGAAGCAAAGGTTAAGATATAAAGTTTATTCGTTCACTGCAACCAGGTATATCAATCATATTTCGCTCGCTACTCTGGTTTAAATAAATGATTACAAAGCCCAGTCGAATTGTAACCAAGACCCAACGTTTCGACACTCCAGTCTAGTGTCTTCATCAGGGGTGATCTAAAACTGCGATCGTGGCTTCTTAAATACCCAGCGAGCGAAATATAAAAGGTTAAGATGTTGTCAAGTACTTATACATTTTGGTTTTGCACATTATAGTTAATTAAGTAAACAACATTTTTACAAGCATTTTCAAATGCGAATAACAGAATCCCCACACTCCCCCTCCTTATTACATTGTCATTTTGCTTTCTAACATAAAAGTTTTTGTTTAGAGATTGATACAAGTGATGAATAAATGTACTAAATATTGGCTATATAATTTTGTCAGAACTGTCAAACCCACTTGCAAGACAATCTTACCTAAAATAATTCGTATGGAAAATAACTTAATAGCTACAATTTATATCAATAATCATATATTATATGGGTGGATCAGATCAATGGCACACAATGTACAAAACTAAACTTGTGATACTCAAACCGATTTTCTCTCACAACACAAATTGTTTTTGTGTGGATATGCTGTGTTAAACCGAACAGTGTGCATGGCACAGTGTATCAATAACTGTGCACAGGACTGGAATTGAATGATAGACTTCACTCATGACTTTTAAATCATTCTCTACTATTCAGTGGTCTTCGATATATGATTGACCTCTTTGCT